TTCACGACTTCTCATCAGCTGCAAACAACAATCGTGGATGCGCACTGCTGAGGAGTCCTGTACTAGGATGAAACGGCCGTCCAGTGCTTCCAGGTTTCCATGGTGGTCTAGCTTCAACTGACTCATGATTTCAATCAGTGAAATTTAAAATTAGTATCAGAAGAGGGTTGTGGAGATTGTAGTAATTTCAATAGTTATATTTATATTAATAATTGTAATTATTAACAAATGTTTAGCATACATTATTTTGTGAAGTTCAGATAAATGTTCGAAACGTAACCATAATTATAATAGTTAGAAAAATAGGAATACAAAGTGTATGAATAAACATAATCAAGATCGATGTGTATTTTTATATGTTGGGAAGTAATGATTAAGAGGTTATATAAAGGTAATGAAATTAATAAGTGATTGGGTAATCACGCAACATGATAAAATAACAAATATGTGAACATCAATTAGATTATGTTACAGATGAATATCAGAAGACGAAAGAACAATAAAATAATAGAAGGTTAGGGGTAAGGTTGAGAAAAAAATTAAGATCAAAAAAGGTTATTAGATAAATATGCAATGACCATGATAGGGAAAGGCTAACCAAACTTTTCTTCTATATACATAGGTCAGGCCGGAAAACGTTTGATAGCGATCGCCTCTGAAAAACAGAGTGAGATTGATGTTTCTTTTCTATTGATTTTTTGAATGAATTCATTTTATTCTGCGAACCATATTGTTCTTGATCTGTTTAAATTTATCAAGGGATCTGATCGTATGAATAAATAAATAAATAAACAGTTTGGAATTTGAAGACAGTAACCTTTATTGAATCAAAGCATCGGGACAGCTGTTTAGTCAGTGAAGTAGTTGTACAAAAGACATTTTGGATACATAACTACATCAATTCTCTTTAAGCCTTATAAATCAAGCAATTTACTGACTTGAGTAATAAACAAATCATGAAACAAGAATTCACTTCGATTTGCCCTGGTGGAGAGTCAGCTTTTCCTCTCGAAATGCTCTCAAATGGCCACGCGTATACAGCCGCTGCCAGGGAAGTCCTACTCACTAACTTGTGTTGTTTATGAAATTGAGAGGACCAAAAGCGAATGTTTGGCGTGTAAACCAAGTTGGTGGATATGAAGGATCTACCTAGGAGAGTTGGAAACCTTTGATTCCAAACCAATAATGCACACGGGTTTCAGGATCCTGAAGGAACAAATGGCGTGTGAACCAATTATTGGTCACGGGCTACAATGTGAATGCATCTCCTGACGTTGCTCCACTGCCTTATGGATTAGACCTTTAGGTCGACAGCTCCCGGTGTGGCCCCCTAAGAAAACCACCTGCTTTGATTTGGACACCCGGGCAGTATCACAGCCAACATACAAATTAAGTAACTTGTATGGCGCATACGTATTTGGTGCCCCTTTGTACCAATATTTATGTGTTCAGATAAATAAGTAAATGTACGGAGTTTTATACTGAAGCATATTTATACTTCCGTCATGGTAAAATTTGATGTATTGAACATCGATCGATGATATCTAATAAGGGATGTAAATAAGCATCTACAAAGTCCTCTGGATACTCAAAATCGAATGTGATGTCAGTTTGACAGGTTCTTTCTTATCTTCGTTTATTAATCGTAAAACAAACTAAGACAATGAATAAAATCTATCTGCAATACATTTTTGTGTGACTGTTCTCTTTTTCGCATTTTTTTGTTATTGAATATAATCTCTTATTTATTCAATTAAGCGACCATTAACAGATCAGAAACAAATGGTAAAGTTAGAGAAGCCAGTCTCAAGTAACCTGATAGAATTACTTATATCATTTTAGTCGTAAGTAATATTATGTAAAATGTTGACTAAGTAAAACGAAACACCTATTCGGAAGAATATGACTGATTGAATTACAACGTACTAATGTGCAACACTTTAATGATAATTCTCAGAGTGATTGGAAGAAACAGAAGAAAAATTCTATAAAGAATACATAGTTATGGATCGAACTGCACAACCGATTTTCAGTTTAAAGAAGAAAGTGAAAACAAATAATCAGACAATGACAGAAATAGAATAGAAATATGATTTTAAAGAAAGCTGAAAAATAAACGAAACAGATCAAAAGAATCATTTCATTAATGTTGTCACAGAAGGATCCCACATCATTTTGTGGAAGAGGTAATATAAAACCTAAAAAAATACATCTTAATTGGCTGGAGATTGAGTGACTTACAAAATGATTACCTCTAACTGCTTATGACATTTCGTCATGTTTATTTTTCATATAAACATCTGTGGGGACGACCCCCGGTGAACTCAAGAAAGCTCAGAAAGAACCGAAGACATTCCATCTGATCATCTTTTGGAAGAACATTTCAGAATCTCGACGTGTAGCTCCCCGATTGGACAAATGCTAAAAACCACTGCATGCAGATTGGATGACTGTAATGATGATTTCGTTTAAACTAAAAACTATAAATACCTGAGTGTTTTGTATCATATCTGATACTATTTGAAATAAGATTCCTTCCTACTTGTCTTTTATCTTCTAACATCCAACTTGAAGGGTTCTAGCGTTCGAGTGCTTAAGTTGTATGCGGTATAGCGAAAATCCTAGTTTTAGATATAACAACATGTCACTTTATTACATAGGAAACCAACTTTTCTGACTAGTGGTCTTATATTTGATTTAAGATTAATCAGTAATTTCAGTCAATAAATCGCTATCGTGAACAGTATTCTTTTAATTAATTTTACGATTAAAGAATTGTTTATCAACCCACTGAATCATTAACATTCACCTTCGTGACAATGACAATAGGGATAAAAATTGATTGTGAAAAATTTTAATTATTACAAGATGAGTGGATATTTATGTGTATCAAATTGATGTTATCAGAGATCGAACTTAACAAAATAATCATAGATAAGTCAAAATCTGAACATCATTCACAAACCATTATCGGAAAATTCAATGCCATTCAGAATAAAATATAACACAGATAGAAATCACAACTCATACAACAATACAAAGTTGGTCGCAAACAGCCATATGACGAAGTCAATGAACAGTCATGAAGCTACTGCCAATTCAGATTCAGGCATTGGAGCCAGAATTTACTGAAAGTTATTCAATTTCAAGTTCAGTACTTCCAATTGTAGTTACACAATATCAAGTCGAGTCAACAACACATAAATCAGACCAATCCCAATAAACCATGGATCAAGCAGTCTCATTAGAGCCATTGATATCTTCAGTTTCAGAAATAAAACACACTTTAGGAGCTTGTATTGTTATAAACCAAATCGTGCGACAAGAGATGAATTTAAAGAAGAGAGAGTAGATGAAAGGAAATATCGTACATTTGATGCTATAAACTATTAGATGAAATCATTTTGCAGGTCATATACTCTCCAATCAATTAGGACTAATTCTTGGTTGTCGTATCAGTTAGCAAGTATAGGGACAAGCAGAAAAATAACCAGTAGCCATTCTAAGTGTTTAGAGTAAAATTAGTACGATTTAAGGAAAATCGTGGTATCGAAGTTAGTTCTTTCTTTAAATTCCTACCGTAGTACCAGGACAGTTGTACATTTAAACAAAACTTGACAGTAAACTGGTTTCCCAAAGTTATGTTTTGACAATATGAGATTTTCCCAGAATTCAAAATCGGTCTGGATAAAATCGGTGCATATGTTTATGAAATAATTATATAAACCCATAATACATAACCAATACATATAGTGGTTAATTCAACTATATTCTTGTGTATACAGTAAGTTTTTACACTGTCGACATTATTTAAGACGAAGGTAATTATTTCAGAACGTATGATTCACGCTATAATCAAAAGCCAAATACAATAGAGTATATGTATAGTATTCGATCGTACAAAATTCATAACAGGAGTTTGATGATATAGTGCGTATGTTGAAACTTATCGAAAAAGTATTCATTAACTCTTGATAATCAATAGAGTATCATTTTTTACAAAATGGCAAAAAGCTCTTGTAAGTTTAATTACCAGTTTTTTTGGCATTAGAACCATCGTTAGTAGTGGAGCGGGGTCGTTTTTGTAGGTTCTTACTGTTAGTTTTCGATTTACGCTTTCTTCTTCGATTCGATTCATCAGATAAGTCCTCATCACTTCCTTCTTCTTCTCCATTATCTTCGTCTTCGTCAGTCTCCTGAAATTCGTTATCGTCGTCATCATTATCCGCTTCTTCATCAGAAGAACCTGGTTGCCAGTCGTCATCATCTGATTTTTTCTTTCCTCCTGAAAACAGAAATACTTATTAAACTAGAATTTGAAAATCGAGAAGTGAAGTTCTAGAGCAACTCAGGTTTTTTTTAAAAACTTTTATCACCGATTATTGAGTGTTAAAAAACGCTTGTATTTGAGGTTGATTTACAAAAATGCCTAAAGAGGTTTGTTAAGTATTAAAACCACTAGTGTCAAGTAAAGCACTGTCTCATTCGGGAATAAGAACTTCAGGAAGGATTTAACTAAACATAAGATGCTTAATAAATCGAATCCATAAATTTTTAGGTAGATTGATTTGAAGAGAAGATGATAGATGCTTTCTGTTTGTGAACTAATCTAAGCTGGATGTATGGTGCTGTTACTTATGTTACAGACAATAGAAATTACATTTAGTGAATCGAATAATAATAACCGAATTCATTTTTACTTCCCCTCCAACTCGATTGTTTTCATAAAACTTTGCTTGGAAGTCTACGCATTAAGTACTATGCGATTCTCCATATATGGGATGAGTGGATGTTTTCAAATGTACATACTTTAGTTAAATATCACATCATATTAAAATTTGGAACAATGTGTCCAATTTAAATGTCAAATATAATATTATTTTATATAATGAGAATACACATTTGTAGGATTTCTATAAAATAACGTGTAGATGATATCCATACAAATTTGACATAAGCAAACTTGGTTGAGATCACACAAAAAAATTCAGACAACCATTGAAAACCTGGAGGGACTGAACGGTCGTTCCGGTTTCGTATGAGACCCCTTGGCAGTGCACATCAAACAGCCCCGAAATCAGAAATCGAACACAATATCTAGTGAGCAAACGCATAAACCCTAGACCACAGAGCCAAGATACAATGGTCTATAATATAACCTCCTGATGATAATCGGAGATGGTCGAGGAATGTCGCGGATTGACTGAAGTTAGACTTGTACACAATTTAACCTCGGATCAATATTTTAAATGTTAGGGATTCGCGCTAGACCGCAAGTTCTAGATTCGACCCGTGGTTGCAAGGCTGTGGATCTGCATTGTAGAGGATTTCCATACTAAGACGAATTTTCTGTTCCAGGTTTTCAATGGTTGTTTAACTTAGATAGGTTCATGATCTTAATAAAATTCGGCAAATCTCCACAACCGAGTACTGATATACAAATTTGTTTCAGATAGTGTATTCATGCTAAATGATCATGAATTTCTAACACGATAGTACAGACAACGAGGGCTTTATTATTTTTAGAGTGTATGTTCGAAGAAAATACTACCTTAAGAGACACTTTTAACGTGTTAATTGTTCTTTTTTATTTTGTTGGTTGATATCCTTATAAATTAAAGACTATTAGATACACATTTTAATAACACTTTGAACTCATTGGGAATATTCTTATCTAATAAATCAAGGGGTATGATCAAAATCTAAATTTTTTCTAAAATACTAGCTTATAATACAATGAATTATATCGTTGGCAATAATTCAGTTCATTGAAATACAATATGAACTCATTCTTGGACGATTGATGTCTATTTATATTATCAGATAGATAGACGAAATAGACAAATCATGACTTTTAGTTAAAACTTTAAACATGTAAATATCAAGAAAAGACGTAACTAGGATGTAAGTGTTGTTGGATATGTCAGTTGTAATGAATTAGTACATTTTGATTAATACTTTACAGCAAATTAAATAACTCAGATTTGAAGTCAGGTTTATGATTTGAAAGGAGAATTAAATACTTTATATGCAAAGTAGATCAATTGCAGTGAATATCTAACGGAGGTTAGTACCAGTATGATTAGAAGCAATAGAATAATTTAAGTATAAAGAAAGTATCTACTTACAAGTATTGAGAGTAGTTATTATTTTTAGATGTCATTAAAATTTAAAATAAATTTCGCAATTTTAAAGATTTCTTACCTGATTACATAATTCAATTAGTCGACTATCAACTATTAATTTACTCTACATAAAGTGTAAGTAACGTTTGGTGTGATGTCTTGACACATAAAATACTAAGTAGTTTAGTAAGCAATGAGTAACAAATTAAAAAGATGATGGTTTATGGAAATAATTTCTCATTTTAGAGAAAGGAAATATTATACCGTTATGTATACATTGACTCTAAGTTAACAGGTAACGAATGTGAACACTGATCAACCAAGCAGGAGAAGTATTATGAACGCTTAGCAAATAAAGATTGGTTGAAGGTAGACATTAACATTGTTCGATGCCGACTCAGTGGTCCAGAGGTTGAAGGTTCTGGGTTCGAATCCCGTGTGCAGGATCGTGGATGTGCACTGCTAATGAGTCTCATTCTAGGACGAAACTGCCGCCTAGTGCTTCCAGGTTTTCAATGGTGGTCTAACATTGATCGATTCATGATCTCAATTACGATAAAGAGATGTCGGATAACCGATCAAGTGTACTTCAATGCAACTAATGAGTTGCATACATGAATGTGTGCAAATATTTGCTAATAAACTTTTGTGAAAATTTCAAACATCACAAAACAATATATGACAACTTACGTAGTCTAAGATTAGTTTTATGAACTGATGATCTGTGATAAAAATTAGGAAATGGATAGAAAAGAGAAAATGCATCAAAAATATGTGTACAAAACATGATTAGTTTTAAAACAACATCTAACTGCGCATTCTTGCAAATGTAATACAACCCATTTGTTGATGATTGGAGCAAACAATACAACCAGATAAAATTTTCGATGAAAAAGAGTAAAATTACTAAGTGGCTGAAAGTAAACGAGAAGAAGCTTTTAATTTATATCTCATTTTATTTGGCGTTTGTTAATAATTTCAAGGAAAATTATGCTACCCGAGGGAAATGTCACTATCTACTCATCTGGATAGTTTGAGGCGCATGCTACTTATGTCTGTTGACATAAGTAGTATGTAACACCAATTGGAAGTAGAAAACTGGGCATCAGAAGGCTATGAAGGATGAATTGAAGGGGACAACAACGGATTTAGAAAGGAATTGTGAGTCGGAAGGATCATACAGAATGTGAGAGAAAATAATGGAAATTCGCAAATGAAGTATTAAGTGCATGGTTCTTAAATTTTACCATGATAATGTGTAATTTATTATTAAGATGTATTGGTTGTCCCCCAAACTGAGTTCTCGTTCATTACAGGTTTCCTTTGCCCGTATTTGTGAAATATCTTTGGAAATAACTGAGAAACTACGTTTTCATTGTCGTCCAGCTTGAAAATCATGGCAAATAATCTACCTAAGGTACTTGTAAGGTATGGTCGATAAACAAACCTACCAATGACAACATTAAATACCCACCACAATATTGACTTTTTCGACCTTGTATGACTATGCCTAGTTTATTCACTAATCATAATCTTTTATTTAATAGTTGAATTAATGAGTCAATTGAAGCTAGACCACCATAGAAAACCTGGAAGCACTGGACGGCCCTTTCGTCCTAGTATGACGCATGAATTCAACTAATAAATTAATATAATATCCATAATCCCCCTCTCTGATTATAATCTTTTATGTTTGTCATAAATGATATTACACTTTTTGACTCATTTTTCCTATCCTCTAGTTACTGTACAGTATATCATATATGTCGCTCTTTTTACCTGTTTAATAGACTGTTTTTTTAATATACTAACGGTGTCAGTTCACGTTTTAGAAACAGAAAAGGTTTATCAAGCCAAATAACTTACTTGTTCTGACTGGATAAATTAGGACTCTGCTTGACAGTCTGGAGATTAGTATAGAATCGCGTCTGTAGGAAATCACTTTCTATAGTACTGAAAAACCTATTTCAACGATCACACACACATTCTGTTTCTTGAGATTTGATTACTGAGAAATAAAGTGGGTGGAAAGAGGAAGAAAGCTAATGCAAGTAAGTGGAATCATACGACTTTGTGTGTTGGTATATGATGGTAAATAGTAATAATCAGCAGTGCGATTTAGAATGCCTGGATCATATCCAATTTCAGTCGTTTGTTGTTATACACCAAGTACAGACACGTGAACGCGGCTATGAGACATACTTTATGTCTTCCGGATAGTGACACTATTCAGCTGCTCAAACCAAATTAGGTGAACCGGGACTTGAGCCTGTGACCTGATGGTTGGAAGTGGAATACCTCAGACACTCAGCCACTGCTCCACTTCAATCATGGAAACGTAATGAATTATAGTCAGTATAAACGATATTTCAAATCCACTTCAAAGGAAAATATTGAATCGCATACGCATAAACTTACTTGGATTTCGGAGACTGACCATCGTCATCATCATCATCATCATTTAAAGACTGATTTAATGTAGAAGATAGAGTTGCAGTATTTGGTGGACTAGGTGCACGTCCAACTCTATAGCTACGCCAAGGTACATTACTTTTAGTTTCGTAGCATTGTAAAATCCATTTATCGGAAACAATTATACCTTTACCTTTAACTAGATTGAATTTAGGTGTGTTTGGAAATGCACAGCTATAAAGATATGAAGTGAGGTTAAAGAGAGAAAAGAGATAAATGAAATCAGTAAAAGAACAGCATATCTTTCAACTACAATCATTTTAATACAGATAAACAAAATCAATCATATAATCATTATTGTCAAAGAATAATTATATCACTTTAGATAGTATTAGTTTCTTTGAGATGGATGATTTAATTGTGAAGCTTTTATTACCGTTTTAAGCGAAATCACACAAACCCCTATTTCAAGATGAGACTATTCTGATTTATCTACAAGTACTAAAACAGACTATTTCCTCATCTTCATGCATCTCTCAGTTTCTGATTACTGTATTTTTTAGTTGATGATCTATGACCGAATAATTGACTGATCTCCTCCGAATGGGTTAGTAACAATTTACTATCGAATCTGTATTCATGGATTTCTACGCAAGTGAAATAAGTGATGGGATACCGCGTCGTTTGGTTGCTAATATATGTTCGTATATGTATACATGAAAGGGTCATTCACCTCGTCTAATTCAATGTTTCTCACATTTGCTAAAACATGTTTTATAAATGATATTGTATTTATCTTTCATTAGCGTTATGTTTTCTGACTTATATAAAACAGAATCAAGTGACAATTTTCGCTTGTGAGTAACAGAATTTAAAGTGCCGAGATTCTGAATTACAGAAATTCCAAGAATGTCAAGGAATGTATAGAAGCATACCTCTCACGTTAATTTGGATTCAAAAATACACCAATACAAATCCAATTAATCGATTTAGTTACCTATATGAACAAGATGTTCCTTCTTACACAAAAATATATTAGTAGATCAATTCGTACACAAACTTTTTGGATCTACAAGGAAGTATGAATCACCTGAATTTGGATAAGTTCAGAAATTAGTAAATTTAACTAGCCTCATAAAATTATAGATTTGAAAGTTGATAAATTTAATGAAATATTAACCCAGAAAGCGATATAGAAAACTTTTTACATTATAGAAAGTAGGAGAATATCAGTGAAACTACAGTCAGGTATACCATTTTTAATCTGATAGCTGATAAGTGCGAAATATCTCTTTTTGGAATAGCGGTCGAATATACACAAACGTCTGATGATTATCACTAAATCTTATTCTTAATCTTCAAAAGCTTCTATCCTAAATCATTCTATATGGTCTTTGGACAGACTACTGGAAAGTTTATATTTAAATACGTTAGTTTGACGACGTAAGTGGCTAAACAATTATCAGTTAAGGAAATTTAACTGAGTTATATTACAGAAAATTTCTGCTTTTGTGTAAGAATTTATATTGTAATTCAGCAGAAAATTTGAAACAAATTTAACAAGGATATCTGCATAAATTTATTGAAGTACAAATGCTTGAACAATGGAGAACACATGTTTGACTTACATCAAATGTGTACAATCTGGACCCCAATCTTGTCTGTACTTGGCACCAAGTTCCAGGGCTTTGTCTCTGATTTGACTTCTTAAGGGATTTTGATAACCACTCAAAGTCAGAATAACATTTGATAAAGGTTTTTGGGTTGAATGAGATGTTTTTGATTGTTTGTATTCTTCTTTGTTCTTTGATATGCGAGACTGTGAAGAACGTATTATGCCTGTGTTGGTGGGAGATGGTCTTGAGTGAGACTGGTGAGAACTGGTACTGGCTTTAGAGGAACTATGATGATCGTCTGGTCGACTCACAAGTAATGAACTTGACGTATTCGCTACAGAAATAATTAAAAAACTAGCATTTAATTTATATATGGATAAGGGTGTTTTGGACAAACATTGATCGCAGTTAAAACAGGAATATGACCTAGTGTAGCAAACTTCTGGCTAATAAGTTATTCATAAACTAAGTAAGGAAGGTACACCTAGGGTAGTTCGACAACCCTGATTTCGAGTCATTGGTGTATACAGATTTGGGGATCCTGAAAGAACAAATAGCGTGTGAATTCATTCGCGGTCATCATCACCACTGAAGCAGGTGGTTTTCTTAGGAAGCCACACTGAGCCTTTGACCTAAAGGTCTAATCCAAAGGGTAGTGAAACAACGTTATAAGATGTAATCTCATGGTAGCCGGTGACCAACTATAGGTTGATACACCATTCGTTTCATGAGGATCCTGAAACCCATATGCGCCGTTGGTTTGGAATCAGGGTTTTCCAACTTCCTAGGTGGACTCTCCGTACCCATCAACCCCGTTAGAGCACCAGACATTCGCTTTCGGTCCGCCGCGAGAATGTAGTGAGTAGGACTTCCCTGGCAGTGGTTGTATGCACATGCTCATGTAAATGCATCTCGAAAAGGAGAGCTGACTCTACCCACTGTCGGCCGTGCCAGGGGCATTTGGGGGCAAACATGGGACCTCATCTCCTGGTGTTATTCCACTGCTTTGTGAACTAACCCCCTGGGTCAAAGGCTCGAGGAATGGTCCCCTAATAAAACCACCTGCCTCGGCTTGGGGACCCGGGGAGCACCCCAGCCCCCCACACACACACAATGATTTGTGCAAAACAAAGATATATTTTAGTGCCTCTTTGTGCCAACGTTTGTGCGTTTAAATAAATAAATAAGACAAAATAAGTGTGCTTAAAATTCGAGGGATTATATATATATATATATATATATATATATATATATATATATAGAACGTAACGAGAGGTCAAAAAATCCATTTTATATAATAATACTAATTTTTAGATTCAAAGGAAGATGGGAAAATGAATGCGAAAAGCGACCAATCACTAGTCATGTTACTTACGTCCTCCAAACATAGATAACATAGTCATCATCGATGAAATTTCATCAAACAGCAAGTGTGTGATAAACTCTATATTAAAATGTTTCAATCATATCAAACAGGTTAAACCTAATCTCATTTACTGTAAATGAGCAAGATTAAGTCTGATAGTCAAATCTTAATGTCACTGAGATGCGCCCTCAGCACAATGAAACCGGTATCATCCAGTTAGTAGGAAAGAAAACGGCAAGTCATCGTGAAATAAAAAGTGCAAATAAACAAATATGCACATCTGTGCGAATTATATTGAGTTGTATATATTGTCTGAGAGCTACCAACAATTTTATGTCAATGTAGGAACATGAAGAGTGATATAGGAGGAAATAGAAAAAAACTTACCGTTCTGAATTAAATTAGATGAATGTTTCAAAGCATTTAATTTATCTGAAACTACAAACATAATTTCTATATGTATCCTTACTTGAGGACTTGGGCTGTGAATTGTCTTTATCACAAGATGTCTGGCGTGAAGCCTGAAAGAGTGAACCTGGTTTGAATTGAGTTGAGTCTGATTCTTCGTCATTCAGTAAGCTATCTACTTTAAGGTTTTTATCCTATGATGTGAATGTTGGCATAAAAATGACGCTTACGTCGGCTGCTGGATTCGCATTAGCTGGAGTGTGGAAGAAAACGAAAGAAATGCCATACTGTAAAGTTTTGTTAAACGGTTGCGAGCAAACAAATTTGACTAGATCCCATTTCTGGCAAGCTATGGACTTTATAAACTGATCACCACTAAATACCCGGACACGGTTAAGGTTCGTTTCGTTTTTTGCATCTACTGGAGACATAAAAGAAGAGGATGGCAGGAGTACCTAGAACTGGTCTGAACAACCAACTAAGATGTTACCGATGAGTCATCCGATGAAGCAGATCTTCGTACCAGCACTTCGATAAAGGCAGAACCATTATTCCCAATATCTAAACGTGAAATTTCAATAGGTTCGGAAAACTATGAAGCTTTAAGATGATATGAGAAAAGCAGTTTACACTCAATTCTACAGCTTCTTGCCTGCTTCCACCACTTACACAACACCATTTTGAGAATGACGACCCTTTTAAAAGGTTGGATGCAGGAAAGGCCTGGAAAAGAGAAATACGAATGTTAAATGTTTCATTTTTTAGAGAAATCATATAAGGTCTCGAAAGAGTATGAACGTTATGATTTCAGCCTAGATTAGGTTACACGAGGCTTGTAAATAGTTCATGAGAAGAAAATTAAGTGAAATAAAGACGAGTGAAACAGAAATCTAGAAAGAAATAGACAGACTATAAAGCAATCTTTTCGAATTGCTTCTAAATAGTAATTTGTATTATTCAGTAAGAAGTTTTAGTTACGACTGCTTAATGAAGTAAAGTTTGAAAATATGTTAATTCAGAAATTAGGGATGTTTAGTTTCCCTTAAATGATGGTAAGTTCCCTGCATCATGAACGTGAAATACTACTTACAAGATATTACGCCAAACGATGACAACAGCTGGGTCTTGTTGTTCGGCCTGAAACATGTTTTCCAAAGTCATTCAGCTACAACATAGGACCAGGTACATATGTGCATCGGTCCAAGTTGCCATACTTCATTAGCACGACAAGACGAACACCGGATTCATAGAAGTAGTTAATTCAGTGATGGTAAAATATAAAAGAAAGATTGCAATAAGGATATAGTACAGGAAGAAAGAATTAGTTCGTAGAAAGAAAGATATGAAGCAATTTTAATCTCATAGTTTAAGGGAAGACAAAGAGTGTATAAACCGATGCCATTGTGATCGATCCTAAGCCATGTCACCAAGGGTCTCCGACCATTGATTACGATAGTCACGCGGACCCCAACCAAGTAGTCTGCATCTACCAACATGGCTCGGACCAGAAGTTAGTGACTTCAAGCACTGATGCCACGTTTTGGTTTGGCCGCCACTAACTTTCTTCCAACCATCTCCAACACCGGTTAGCGTTGCACGTCGTGGTAATCGGTGTTCAGGCATACGTAACACGTGGTCCGACCATCTGAGTCGATGAAGATTCACAACCTCATCAACTGATTTACCATCATTCCCTGATACTCTGCGTCTAATCTCACTATTACTTACCCGGTGATCCCAGAAGATGCGAGTAATATTTCCAAGGCATAGGTGGTCAAATACTAGTTGCTCACGAATATCTTATACTCTTAGTGGCCACGTTTCGCAGCCGTAAAGTAAAACAGAACGAACTGCCGCACAGTTTACTCTTCCCCTTAATTGATAGACGGATATCTCGCTTTCGCCATAGGTGGCGTTAGTTGGCAAAAGGCAAACGATATTTTCGAATCCGTGCTGAGATTTCGTCAGACACCAACCCATTAGGGCTTACTAGACCTAAAGAGCGGTAAGACTAAGAGCACCGAACCCAAGGTTTGGGGGCGAAATCGTACTGCTGATTATACAAAGGTGTAGCAGCAGTAAGGTGTTTCTTCAGACAACCAGCATGACAGCGATGCTGCCTTCCCACAAGGAGGGGTAGGTTAGAAAAGGCCGATCCTAAAAATGCACACCTCGCCTTATCCCATGGATATCTGCCTGCAGTGGTAAGGTCTCGAGAAATACGAGCTAACACGAAAATTACTCGCGAAAAGGTCGTGTGTGACCGACCTCAAGCAGTTGTCCCATGGGCACTGCGGTCACGCTCTCAGGTCTCTAAGACCACCTGTAATCCAATTTCATTTTCAGGTACCTTCAGAACCCTTCCACGGTGTGGGCAACCGGGAAGTGATAACCGCCCTCATACTTCCAACAGCACTCAAAACCATTGTATGTTTTCCAGAGGCGAATACATAAATGTATGCTTAGTAAATAAGTCACATTAACTTTTATAGTTATGAGTATCGAAATCATCCTTTACGCTAGCCGTCCTGAAACACGAACGAGGCAGTAGTTGATATCTAACACGAATTTGGATACTTCAATCAACGAAAACAACTTAATCCCTGAAAAAAATTACATGCCACACATTTTCACTACACACAAGAACTTTTATGGTCAAATGATTGCAATTTTCGGCTGTTTATGAAATTAGAAATCATATTTTACAGAAATGATTCAAATCAAATAGTTGAGTAGTGGACCCACTTTTTGATAAGCAATAGAACATTACGAAAAACACACTTATCAAAGACATGAAGCCTGTGTTAATTTAGTAATTGTTCCATTGCTACATACGTTCATGTGAATGTATTTCTTTAATTATTGTTGATGGAATTACTTTAAACCATTTCCTTATTTTTTTATATACTGTTTAGCCGACTAATGAGCAGTAAGTAATTATCGACGCATCAAGCAGGAGGAAGGTTCTGATTGCAGATAAATAGTGGATTGTGGGCAAAGAACTTTGTCTTTATCCTATGGACCTTGTGGATATGCATCCGCAGAACAATGCCCAACCAGATGACAATTGGTCAGTCCTGAAGTGCAAGGTCATTTACTACTGCGGTAAGTTATGAATGTAGAAACCGTAATTTCCCATAAATAGTTTCTAGCCATTTCACACTTGAGTGCGAACATTGGGCAGCTAATATCGAAGTCTCATGGGGCGTGAACATCCACAGAAATTTGTTATCGGAATACCAAGTTTGCAGTTTCATTTGTCATTTGAAGAGGAACTAATAACATTAGGCGCATATCTTCAGCGAAAAGACATTACGGACGAATTTGTAAGTCAACAAAATTCGCTGGATTACTTGTTTCTATTCCAGAAGGCCGTCCTGACGTGGTTAATGGATGATAATCCTAAGACGTCCATGCGCTAGATTATGTCATACGTCATGACATCTGTAGTTACCAGCCATTCCACTGTATTAGGCACTCCATCGTAAAGGATACTTCAGAATTGCAGGTTTTACGGCTGCATACGAAGAAAAAAAAGTTTCTAATCTTTAGGAGCATTAACATCTCGATTCTTGTCCCCATCCGTCGACGGAAAACAAAATCCCGAAGCTTATGACATCGTGAAGTAAAGGTATTTTCACGACATGAGACAAAATACAAAAGCGTCATCGGAGAAAACAAGAACACGTATGTACTAATATGTTATAACTATTAACTGCTGTTCTATAGGTGCTGAGAATTCTATATTGTACCAAAATATAATATTGAATAAAGCCATTAATAATAATAACAATAATTAATAATAGTATTCAATATTAAGGAAAATAACCGTAAGTACTACTTCAAGTTCATTTGTTTAACAAACTATGACATTCGGATGTTTCACTGTTTTGTGTTCATTAAATTTTAGAATTTGCATGAACATTGGTTCGGAGTAGTTACACTACAGTTTAGGAAGAGTGTTACTATTGAAATATCTTTTATGTTTAACTTAATTGTTAATAAAACTTTTTCCTACTATGCACTGAATTCTTGACTTGCATGTGAAAACTTTAAAGTGTATGTTGTGGAAGTTTGTTTAGTTTTATATGCACTTGTCATTTATGACACGTAATTTCTTTTATCTCCGTAAATTACAACAGGACTTGACACTTACTATGAAAATACATAACGACCGTTGCTCAGGCATTCGACTATTGTTAATATTTTTGTACAGTATGATGTTTTTTTAATAAATGTCTATAAACATGTATCATTTTTTAAAGCAGTCAATTGCGGTCGTCATGTGGTTTGTTACGGAAATAAAGGTGGACATACGAGACATTCGAAATTGAACAAAAGATGGCGAATAAAGTGTGTAATTAGACGTACATTAAAAATTAGGGGATTATTTAAGCTGAAATTAGACAAGCTAGCGTGCATTTAGGCAGAAAGTAGACAATCCAGCGACATGTGAAACAAATAGAGAAAAATGGGTAATTCTGTACTCTTTTCCTTTGACGGGCGAAAAAGCAAATATTTTGGCACGTTCCGCCATTGATTCCCCGTCGTTTACCTTTATTTCTCCCTTATTAGTTGTTTGATCAAACAACTAGATCCTCGAGAATGTAGAAAACGCTTACCGAATGGTAAAGTTCAAGTTTAACCAAAGAAAAAATTATGAAAACTAAGTTGTGTATTTAGAGTAAGATCAACTTGCTTTATCTTCACTCGTAAAGCTAACAACTCGACTTGGAACGACCTCAGGCATCACGCAACGTCAAATCTCAAATTAGATCCATTATTCTTCAGTCTTCAATAACTGTGTGTACTTCAATAGTTTAAATGGTTATGAAGAGAATAATAGAAGCTTCTGCTTAATGGGCTTCCATATCTAGTAGCATTAGATCACCGATGCCTTCAGGTAAGGACATAAGTATATTAACGATAAAGAAGGAAAAATAATTTAGTAATATCATAATGAGATACTTATTCCTTAAGAATATGACAAGTTTTCTGTTAAAAGACTCTGACGAAGTCACTTGGACTAGTTCGTCTGGCAGAGAATTCCAACATTTGACCGCTCTTAAGGAGTAGAAGATCTTTTCACAGTCCGTTCTGTTATGTTGACTCCAGTTTCCGGGTGTTACCCTCAAGGCTTGTGTTGGGATCAAGCCCAAGTAGGCATTTTATGGCAACTCAAATGCAATTGACTTTGTTCACATTTAATTCGGTTAAGCCATTTCGTCAAATTATTTAACGAACTGGGTCATCCGTACAAGTACAACCTATCTGTATAATTGTGTATTTATTATTGTTGCGAGGGTGATTGCTTAACGAAGCACAGCCACTACAATTTAAAACGATGCCTAGAAGTACTTAGGATAATAGAAATCGTTAGGTCACACCTAAGACTTTTGCACTGTATTCCACAAAGGATCACTGATTGAGGGAGCTATTCATAAGACTTTAATTTGAGTCCCCGGACTGATTTCGTGGCTCGTCATTGGATACATTCTGGAGTGGTCTGAACTTTTCTGAAGAAAATCAGGAAATACTTTGTTTATGTACTCTAAATGAGGACGAATATAACTGTTGAAGATTGTGTGGGATGTTATCCTGTCGAAATGGCCGTAAATGCTCTTGAACATTACCGGAGAGGCACATTCTCGGAAGGCACTTTTGTCATAGTTAGCATAAGACTACAGTTATAACCTAGGAAACTCCTCTCTAGTAGTATCCCAAGTAGAAGAATATCTAGGAGTCCTGGTGCCCCATGATTTAAAGTCTTACGCTAACTGTGACAAAAATGCCTTCCGAGCAAACCTTGCACTGGTAATGTTGAAGCGCATTTTTGGACAGTCCGACGGAAGAACTTTTCGTATAATCTCCAATAGTTTCATCCGTCCCCACTTAAAGTACGGAAACATAGTACTACCCCCTCACTCCAAAAGGATAAGGACACTTTGGAGCGTATCCAACGGCGAGCCACGAAATCAGTTTGAGGACTCAAATTTAAACCTTACGAAGAGCGCCTCCATTCACTAGACCTTTACCCATTAGAGAATAGGCGTCCTAGAGGTGATCTATTATTGGCTTATAGTATTTTCAATACTTCTGGACATCCTCTTGAACACCTACTTCAGCTTAGTTCCAACACTAACCTAAGGGGTAACACCCAAAAACTGGAGACGAAACATAGCAAAACGGAATGTAGACATAATTTCTATTCCTTAAGAGCTGTCAAATGCTGGAAATCGCTGCCAGCTAAGCTACTCCAAGCGACTTCTTAGGAGTCCTTCAGAAGGCAACTTGACCTATTCTTAAGGACCAAGGAGAGCATCATTCTATGATTTACCAATTTCTTTTCCTCTTTTATTGTTAACATACCTAGGTTCCTGCCTGGAGGATTTGGTGATCTCCTGCTACTAGACGTGGAAGCCTGTTAAGCGAAAGCTTCTTCTATTCCGTCTACAACCATTTGAACCATTTGAACCATTTGACTTCAGATCGTAGAGTAGATATTTTCAACCAACGATACCTCTAGAGGGGAGTTACCTAAGTTGTATCCGTAGCCTGTAACATGTATCAGATGGACTTGAAGATGTTACAGGTATTTGAAGTTTGACAACACTTCGACCAGTGACACCTATACATGAGTTGTGCCCACCCATTGACATTAAAATCAGAAGCGAGGTGGTTCGAAGATATATTTGATAGGCTATCAATATATCGATAATCGAGTGATTTAAACTGGCTAGAGATTTCAGGAGGATTTGAGCACGATGTCCTCAATAATGTTTTAGTGCGGATGTATGCGGATGTATGACCGAGTGCCTTCAGCTAGGTGAGTCCATTAAAACTAATGTAGTCACCACCCAGTGTCCAAGACTTACAGAGCGATTGATTTCGAGGATTTATTTAACACTACAGACTACTTTTCACGTTGAAGTGCCAAAGATAAGTCTGTTGTTACCTACCTGTGTTTATGACAATAGTTTCTAATTATAGTATGAACTAGGAATTCCAGGACTAACGCAATTGAACTAAGAAGACACAGGCACAAACGAATGTATTGTATTTAGAATTCGAAATCAAGTATTCAACCAGTACCAAGGTATCATTGGTTCATTCAAACACCACATCCGCCACAGCTTAAATTGGAGTCTAGGTGTTTATAATCAATCGTACGTCTTCTTCTCAAATTCATCCTGAGTCTGTCTGACATTGTATTGGATAAGGATTCTGTATTATCTAGAATATGCTCATTAGCATTAGAATTAACAATCGAAATTGGAACTGACTCACCTGGTTCCTGAAATTGTATTTGATCTACATGTCGACTGTGTGTACTTAAGTCATCGATGTCTAGAATTCGCACCATCGATTTTCCGACATTCTTCAGAACAATACCCGTAGATGGTCGAAGATCATTTCCTCGATAGTATGTAACCTCTGCAGACTCCAGACATCTCATATTCGACCGAAGAATTCTTCCTTTCAATAGCTTCGCTGGAGTCTCCTTCGTCACCGAATGTTTGGCATTTCTATATTGCAATAGAAAGGTATCTACTCCCCTCTCCAGCTCATTAAATGTTGAGGGGGCTATAGAATCAATAGCAGTCTTTAATGTCCTAACAAAATTCTCTGCCTGACCATTAGAACACGGATGTCTGGGAGCAGTAAATAGATGTTTGCACCCTATACCGTTCAACCAGGTAGTGACTGCATCTGCAGCAAAATGTGAGCCATTATCAGTCACCAACACCAAGGGAACACCTTCTCGACTAAACACCTTTCTTAATGCTTGTATTGTGAAATCAGAATTCGGTGAAATTGTGAAAAAAACTTCAGGCCACTTTGAAAAAGAATCAATGACTACTAGTGCGTAGTATTTACCAAGAAATGGTCCACAATAGTCAGCATGAATCCTCTGCCAGGCCTCAGACGATACTGGCCATGGCACCCACTTCGAAGGATGGTTTTTCAACTGATGACATTTCTCACAACTGTTTGCCGTACGACATATATCTGCATTTATCTCTGGCCACCAGCATGTGAGCCTTGCCAAGGACTTCATTTTCTCAACACCTAAATGACCACTATGAAGATCTTCAAGAACAGATTTACGCAATGAAGGAGGAATGACAACACGATCGTTTAAACACAGAATACCATCAGGAGTAGTAGATAACTCATCCCGCTTTGAAAAATAGATAGGAAATCTCCGTTTCAAATTAGCATTCACATCCCTATTTTTGAGTCCGTTACGCGCTCTTGTTTGTATATCGGTTTTTTTACTGTCGTATTCCAAGTTAACTGACAGCTTGTTTCGAAGACCTGTCAGTAGGACAATGATGTTACTCAGCAAGACTACTGCGTCCGTGTTGCACGTGACACATACCCACTTTTGGTCTGACTTGCTGAGTTTGTTGTAAGCAGTTGCTGTCAGATTTGTGCATGCTTCGTGAAACCAACCTTTGCAGTTGTCACACTGCATGCCAGTTGTGACAGCAAAACGGCATCCCGGACGTTTGCATGAGTTTTTCATGACGGTGTTAAAGCAAACTATGCTATAGATGCAGGCAAAAGCTTAAGACCTTTTTAAAAAAAACACTAAAATGCACGCTGAAAACGGACAAAAACGGACAAAACGAGTGATATAAACTGAAGCTCGTCTAAACGCGAAAAACAAAAAAAAACCGAATAGTAAGCTGAGGCAAAACCACAGGTAACTATTAAATATAGTGAAACTCAAAAAAAAAGTAATCTACCGAACGTATAGCTCAGGATAGATTCTTTAGAACTGAAATGGTACTTTTGTTGCGTAAGAACACAGCAAAAGTTTGATATATGCAAATCACGTTAGGACTAAACTTCCCGTTCGAAAATCGCGCTCAATCCAAGGTTCATTCAAACACCACATCCGCCACAGCTTAAATTGGAGTCTAGGTGTTTATAATCAATCGTACGTCTTCTTCTCAAATTCATCCTGAGTCTGTCTGACATTGTATTGGATAAGGATTCTGTATTATCTAGAATATGCTCATTAGCATTAGAATTAACAATCGAAATTGGGACCGACTCACCTGGTTCCTGAAATTGTATTTGATCTACATGTCGACTGTGTGTACTTAAGTCATCGATGTCTAGAATTCGCACCATCGATTTTCCGACATTCTTCAGAACAATACCCGTAGATGGTCGAAGATCATTTCCTCGATATTATGTAACCTCTGCAGACTCCAGACATCTCATGTTCGACCGAAGAATTCTTTCTTTCAATAGCTTCGCTGGAGTCTCCTTCGTCACCGAATGTTTGGCATTTCTATATTGCAATAGAAAGGTATCTACTCCCCTCTCCAGCTCATTAAATGTTGAGGGGGCTATAGAATCAATAGCAGTCTTTAATGTCCTAACAAAATTCTCTGCCTGACCATTAGAACACGGATGTCTGGGAGCAGTAAATAGATGTTTGCACCCTATACCGTTCAACCAGGTAGTGACTGCATCTGCAGCAAAATGTGAGCCATTATCAGTCACCAACACCAAGGGAACACCTTCTCGACTAAACACCTTTCTTAATGCTTGTATTGTGAAATCAGAATTCGGTGAAATTGTGAAAAAAACATCAGGCCACTTTGAAAAAGAATCAATGACTACTAGTGCGTAGTATTTACCAAGAAATGGTCCACAATAATCAGCATGAATCCTCTGCCAGGCCTCAGACGATACTGGCCATGACACCCACTTCGAAGGATGGTTTTTCAA